TATATATATATATATATATATATATATATATATATATATATATATTTGGCCTAAAGGTCAAATCACACTAGCGATTGGCGATTGACGATTGACAATTAAAGATTATATTTTAACGAATTAACAAGCTTCAGCCTTGGCTTGCTTTGTTCCAATTGGTTAAATTCCAATCTTCAATCGTCAATCATCTATCGTCAATCATTAGTATGATTTGGCCTTTATACTGTATAATCATCCACCACGTCCCATTTTTTATACCTGCTGATATTAATATTCTTGCAGCCCCAGATAGCACAAAATCTTCAGAGAATGTTCTGGGACGTCCTTAGGATGTATGAATGTCCTTAGGACGTCTTTAGAAAGTCCTTTGAAGATTTGTGCTGTATAGGACTAAATGCGCAATCCGACCCGCGGCGGACGAGGATTGTGCTCGAATTGTGAGGCAACCATTATCAGGCCATTTTGGTTCGACTACGTCTTTCTCAATCGCGTTCAAATTATACATCTATTTCATCCTGAATGCAGAAAGTGTCGAAGGATGTGCAACTAAAAATTGCACAGGTGATTGGTCGCCGATTCAAATCGATTTAATAGCGGCGATCGATAACATTGATTCGAGAGCAGCGCTGACATTTTGACATTTGCGCGAAATAAGAGTCAATCATGATTTTTTTTCGCCTAATGCTTTTTCACCCCCAAAAAATGAAAAACCTAACTTGAAATGTTGAAATGAATATAAAAAAGTTCATCTTTCGCGAATTTACATTTTTGCAAAAAGATTCATGATTGATACTCAGGTTATCCGATTGGAAGTTGATGTGTACATCATCAGCGCTTGGCATCAATCGTGAATCTTTTCACGTGATCACGATCTTGTCAATCGTGTAATTTCTCCCTAGTGTAAGATTATAAAAAGTAAATAATTCGGAGGCGAACATGAATATTTTCCTCCAATGTAAACTCGTGAAAAATACGTATTTTTGTATACCTTCAAGGTTAGATTTTTCACTTTTCACGAGTTTATACTAGGGGAAAAGATTCATGATTAACCCCCTACATTTTCGCCATGTGCTTTGCCTCAAATACGATTGTCGAGCCACCAATTTTATCGATCTGTATATCGTAAAACGATAGCGGAATATTATCGCATCGATCGTCGTCGTTAGGATTACGCGCGTCATCCGGGAGAAGCTCTTTCACGTGCGCGAGCGAGCGAGATTATTCGACCTTAGTAATCTCGTGATCGCGAGGTTGGCACGCCTTCGCGACTGCTACTTGAAAGCAGTCAACGATCGCGCTGCATTGTGGCGATCGAATGGCCGCCTCGTCCGATGTCTGTCCATTCTGTTCTTCTGTAATTAGTTTTACTTTATCCGGTGGTCCCCGCGAACGGTATCCTCCGTCGAGCCGGTAAGTCAATCGGTCGAGTTCCGAACGGAAGCGACGCGTCTCGAGGTACAACGCTAATTAATTACCACGCGTGGATTTATTGCGCGAACGTGCTGCTGCTACACTGCTACCGCGAGACGTGCACACACATACACGGCCGGTGATTTGTTTTTCATTAAATAACGCACGGCTCGTCGAGCACCGCGGAAAATCGCGAGCCCGATCCCGCGCGCGCCCTTGGCCAAGACGCGTACGGGGTGTATCGAGCGGACGGCCGAGCTAGCTAACGACAAGTGTAACGTACAGTAGTTTTGTCAAGATGTCCATTTGCATGCAAAATCAGAAACATCCTTACTCCCCCGTCTTCCCGCTAGTCACTAGGTTAGCGTGCGTTTAACGGGAAAACAAGTAGCAATAAATATGTCTCGGGGCTGGCATCTGATATCGGGTGGTTCGTAGCGCAGAAATCAATTGCAGTATAGGCTTGTGTACATTTTATTAATCGTGTGCAGATTTAAATTTCCTTTTCTGTCGCATTGAAATACAAGGAATGTGCAAAATATAGTTCAGGAAAAAATATACTGAATATATTATTTAGATATTGTATATTCAAGACATGTACTTAGCTATATATATTAAATTAATTGTCGTGTTTAATTGTCTTGTTTTAATTGTTTTGTTTTAATAGTTTAAGTCGGCTTTGCTATTTTATGTACTTATATATTATCATCATTGTGTCCTCGATACAAAAATCTTAAGTGAAAACAGTATTGAGCAAGTTTACTTGCGTAATTCCTGAAGACTATCACTATGATTAAGTTTGAAAAAAAACTTCCTATCTCTTGACGTAACTATAACATCATTACATGTGACTTGCAATTGAGAGAGGACTAATATCTTATTGAGAAATAAGTAAAAAGAACTTATTATTTCTTTTTATTTTTATGATACCAATAAATTACGAATTGTAATTTTATAGCTATTATATTCAGCCTGTTTTCTTTTTTTTAATAGTAGTTTTTATACATACATCTTTTCTTTCTGTCAAATTATTATAGGTCTAGTGACATAGCAACAATATTAACATTAACAAACGTAATATTGAGATGGAAAAAAGTGCTGATGGCTTACTGTTTCGCACTGAAAAAAATAATGGTGCAGAGGAAGCAGCCATGGACATTGTACGTGTTGATGAGAGGGTGGCTATTTTAGACGCAGGTGCACAATATGGGAAAGTGATAGACCGGAAAATTCGTGAATTAAATGTTCATAGTGAAATTCTGCCACTTGATACGCCCGCATTTACTTTACAAGAGAAAGGATATAAGTAAGATTTGCATATTCCCTATTAATATTACATTTCTCATGACCTCGTACGGAATAAGTTGCGTGTCGCTTAATTATTTGTATTATGTGCGCACGTGTCGATGATTTCAGGGCTATTATAATTTCTGGAGGTCCTAGTTCAGTGTACGCTGAAGACGCACCTAGGTATGATGCTGACATCTTTCGAATAGGAATTCCTGTACTAGGCATTTGTTATGGGATGCAAATGTTAAACAAAGAATTCGGGGGTACCGTAACCAAAAGAGAAACTCGAGAGGATGGCCAATACCCCATTGAAGTTGATACCAAGTGCCTATTATTTAAGTATGTAAATTATGACCCTTCGTTAAAGGATATCTGATAATGAAATTAGTCCGTCGTGGTTTCCTACTTTTATCCAAATTGTAAAAATCACAAGTATGGTTCTTTTGAAAATCTCAAAGGAATAACACGATCAATTGTTCATTTCAGGGGCTTGGATAAGGATCAAATGGTGTTGCTAACACATGGAGACTGCATAGACAGGGTGGCCGAATGTTTTCGTACTACTGCCAGATCATCAAGCTTTGTAGTGGGTATAGCAAGCGATAAATTGAATCTGTATGGTGTGCAATTTCATCCGGAAGTGGACTTGACATCTAACGGGAAATCGATGCTACAAAACTTCTTATTTGGTATCGCTGGCCTTACGGGTAATTACACGCTCCGCGATCGAGAGACGCAGTGCATTGATTATATCAGGAATACTGTAGGTGATAAAAAAGTTTTGGTAAGCAATATTAACACATCTTAATCTGCGCAAACAAATCTAAAAAATATATTATTGATAAATATGTCGGTATCTTAAATATATACAGAATGAAGCAAGCTAACTGAAATCATTTCGATAATGCCGTTAATATTGATTTCAGCGACAGTTGATTCAGATAAATATCGTATGATTCGAAGGAGGCTGTGATGCATTATTCAAATTTTTTTGTCGCTTGTAGTTTTCAAGATTTCAAAATCACCTTCAGTTTTTGTGAGTGAAAAACAATTGTTTATTTTATAACAGAAGTTATAGGTAATGTTAAACATATATAAACAATATGACTTCAAATGATCACTATTTGATTTATTATATTTTGAATATAAAAGTCCATTGTTACGGTCCTGAAACGAAGTGGTTCCAGTTACATACTTCACTGTGCACAAACTTATAACAATAATCATTAAAGTCCACTTAAAAATTGTTATAGTTACTGGTGAGTGGTGGGGTGGATTCAACAGTATGTGCAGCACTGTTACATAAAGCTTTAAGCAAGGAACAAGTGATAGCTCTACATATTAACAACGGCTTCATGCGCAAGGGAGAGACTCAATCAGTGGAACAAAGTTTAGCGCAACTAGGTGTTAAGCTAAAAGTAGTGAATGCTGGTCGTTGCTTCATGCAAGGCACAACGACCGTTCCTTTAGATAACATCGCGCCCATAATGAACGCTAATGTAACCAACAATAAAGGAATATGCAGCACAGCGAGTAGCCCGAGAACTAGATTAACGAAAATGTTGTGCGAGACTACTAATCCGGAGGAGAAGCGGAAGATTATAGGGGACATTTTTGTAAGAGTTGCGAACGAAACAATGGCGGAAATGGGATTGAAACCGGAGGATGTTTTTCTTGGACAAGGCACTCTCAGGCCTGATCTCATAGAAAGTGCAAGCGCCTTAGTCAGTGGTAAGTTTCTCCTTTCAGGTATTCTTACATATCCACTTTTTGTATTTAATATACTTACACATTATCATCATTATGTCCTCGATATAGAGATATTAAATGAAAACAGTATTGAGTATGTTTTTTTGCGTAATTCTGAAGACTATCACTATAACTAAATTTAAGAAAAAAATTCCTTTTCTTGTTTATCCAGGTAAAGCGGATACCATAAAGACACATCATAACGATAGCGAACTCGTACGAGTGCTACGAGCACAAGGACATGTGGTCGAGCCTCTAAAAGATTTCCACAAAGACGAAGTCAGACAGTTGGGATGTGATCTCGGCTTGCCAACGTCGCTCGTTGCACGTCATCCATTCCCTGGCCCTGGACTTGCAGTGCGAATTCTTTGCGCGGACGAGCCTTACATAGAGAAAGATTTCTCCGAGACGCAGGTATTATGAGCGAAATCCTGCGAGAAAGAACTAAATCCTTTCTTCAGCGGTCCGCTAATCCGCGTGCATTCACGCTTGCAGGTCATAGTCAAAATAATGGCAGAGTACGAGCAGATGCTGCAGAAGAAGCACGCGTTATTGAATCGCGTGGAAGGTGCGACAAGCGAGGGCGAGCGCCAGCACCTTCGCAGAGTCTCGAGTCATCGTCATATCGCGGCGACTCTCTTACCCATTCGTAGCGTGGGAGTTCAGGTAATCCGCGAAAAATCCGCGACAAGAATAGAAATGCTTTTTTTTTTAGTTGATACTTAGCATTATACATTGATTCCTTTTCTCTTCAATGATTATATACTCGTTTCAATCTAAGGCAAAATGTACAATCCAGTTCAGCTGAAAAAAACAAATTTAATATCTCGCGTCTTTTCTCTAGTGATACCGGATACTGAATTGTTTCGATTAACAGGGTGACCGAAGAAGTTACAGCTATGTGGTAGGTCTGTCGTGCGAAGAGACTGTGTCTGAAGGGGTGGAGTGGGAGGACATGTTGTTCCTCGCGAAGCTGATTCCACGCGTGTGTCATAACGTAAATCGCGTGTGCTATATCTTCGGGCCACAGCTTCATCATCCAATCCAGGACATCACACCTACGTATCTCACTTCGAACGTGATAGCGACTTTGCGGCAGGCAGACCACTTAGCTAATCAAGTGTTCGCCGCGAACGGTTGTATGGACGCCATCAGCCAGATGCCTGTTGTTTTAATTCCCATACACTTTGACCGCGACGCGGCGTGTCGAACGCTGTCATGTCAACGTTCCGTTGTGCTTAGGCCGTTTTGTACTAATGATTTTATGACTGGGACACCTGCCATTCCTGGAAAGGATTTACCAATACACGTAAGTCAAGCAACTCGGTATTTCTGATTATATATTAGCAAAGCACATCGAGATATAGATATATTACATTATGTGTACATATTATACTTAGCATAAACTTGTTTAGTATTTCTGTCATATTAAGAATAATTGTTTGTAATTATTTTCATTCTTTATACACATATATAGATAATTTTTCTTTCCTTTCTCTATCTCGCAGGTGGTGAAGAAAGTGGTAACTGAAATATCCACGGTGCCCGGAATCTCACGCGTTTTGTACGACCTAACGTCTAAACCTCCGGGAACAACCGAATGGGAGTAGTAAACGCTCATCTCACCCCTTTCTATTTTTTCACCATCCCTGCGCGCGACTACAAAGCAAAATATATATTTAAAAATATATATATATATATATATATATATATATATATTACGAAACACACGAATTCGAGGTTGGAGGAGACTTCTTACTAATTTATATATGACCTTCGAGCAAACTTTTTCAAAGACATGCATTAACAAGTCGTGTATTAACAGGCTTCTTTAGAAAGAATGGCATTTGATTGAAATTTAAAGGTAAGTATCGTGTTTGCTTGTAAATAGGTTTCTTAATTACACACTCAGACCTACACATTGTAAAGAAAAAAAGTGTGTTAATTTATTAAAATCTAAAGTTTTGTATTCAATCGCCGTTATTACATCTCGAATCGTTGCATCTGATCGACGGTACCATTAGATTACTGTTGTACTCGATCTGCATATAACGTTGAACGTGTTTCACCGTTCTTCTGTATGTCCTATGCCAAATGCAGTTCCCAGTTTTCGTTGTACATCTACAAAACAGGCGGACATATAAGTAAGTTAATGTGTATCATGTGCCGAATATTTTTTATTTATCGTTCATGAGCGAGTAAAGCGATGTTTATTCCTTAAATCTGCAGTATTCTTATTATCCATCTGTTACGATATGACATGAATCCATATAATGCGTGAATGTTTGGCAGATTACCTGTGCATGGTTTTCAACAAGATATGTAAATCAGCAATGCGTTTCTTCTGCGGAAGCATGCTGAGAAACGTTGCAAGTGAGAGAAAGTCCACTTCGTTTACGACATTAGACTTAGTGACCCACGTTTGTATTTGCATCTTTACCTATGAAAATTCACGTTTAGTTTAGCTCGATTGCAGGTAAAGGAATATCACACATTACATATTTTAATGTGGACTTTTGTCAGTAATTTTTATTCGTGTATATATAAGTATACACGTATTAATCAATGGTAAAGTTTATATAAACAAGAAAACTAGGCGAGACTCGAATTTTACATTGAACATTCTAAGTGATGTTTATATGAAAAAAGGGACTTTCATTTAATCTTATACCGACTCTTATACTAAAAACGGAATTTCAATTATGCACGAATATATAATGACAAAAGATCTTGAAATTTTTTGATAATATACTCTTTAATCTTGTTTTGTTTTCTCCGGTTAATCGTTCAATATAGTATATAGAAAATATCCAAGTTTTACTAATATTTCTTATTAATATCTCTCGATGACCTAGATCTATGAAAACAGTGTGCGTTTTGATAATGCACGTCACGTTTGTTTATAAGCCATAGTTTTAGATTTTAAAAGCGATCCATTTCCAAGTGTACAGCAAGTGTACAGCAAGAATGAGTGAAATTGAAAAATAACATTGAGATAAAATCGCACTGTGTAACTGTGATAGCCAATAATTCTCTTGGGATATTACCGACACGCTTTATTATCACTACATACGTATCTTCCGCGACTTCATTATTCATTACTGTGCCAATACCACAGTCTATTACATTTTATCTTCGATACGACGCGCCCACCGCCCACCGATCACCATCTACTTCAGTTTGCTTTACATCAAGTATCGAAAGGTCTGAACATCGATCACACTGAATCTGAGCATTTGCAGATAAGAAACGTCGCTTTTTGAAATATAAAATTCGCCATTTTACAACAATGTCAATGTAATGACACAGGAGAAAAACGGGAATTCTAATATTTATAAATATTACGGCAATTGTAACAGGTAAACAGTTTACATCACTCGCCATAAAAGAGATAGTTTTGTACAACGTTACTGTTTAGCATTGAATGGGATTATAAAATTTGTATGTGTGAGTGTGTATGGGTGGGTGTGTGTATGTGTGTGTGCGCGCACCAGATCTCAAACATAGAACGCGAAAGCTCAGTTCCTATTCGACACTTTTGTCTTAACGAATAATTGTGCGGTACCTGTTGTAACGGGAGAGTAAAGAGATGATTCACAAGATTGATCAACATTTCCTGATGTTTGTCTACGTTCTCATTGTTATGTAAAATACTTAAATTCTGTAAAATAAAGGTATCGGCTTTATCCACCGCAGCATTATTGCGTGAAATCTTAATCCGACTTGTTTGACGTGTCGTGGACGCTGTTTTATCAGTATCGTCCTTTGCGCACGGTTGGACCCTCGCGTGTGGCATTACATCCCCTCGCGAAATCCCGCACGCAGCTCCTTTTTCATCTGAATTATCTACAATACGTCTCGTACTCCCGCCATCATCACCTCGGGTTCTCGAGGACGAACTTGCTTCTTGCGATTTTTCGATTAATTTATCGAAATTGTCCTCCTTATTCGTTTCCTTCGAATTCACCCCGTTCGTTTCTCTTTTCATATCGCAATATATTTGTACGTCGCGTTGCACGTCTGGATGCAGGTCATTCCCCATTTCCGATAGAACATCCGGATCAACTTGCGAGCACGATTCCTGTGCCTTTGAGCTACCCTTCACCTCATTCGGTAGATCGACTGTGCTCTTGGTAGCCGTTGCTGCATCAATTCGAGATTGCTCCTTGTTTCTTTTGTATTCGTCGAGTATTTCGTTTCGTATATCTTGGGGCAATTCGATCAACACGGACATATCGAGATCTTGTATTCGTGGCGGCATCTCGTATTTGGACGGTTTTCCACTATTTGGCTTCATGTGTTTGAAGAAAGTTTCCTGAGACGTTTGCTTCTGTACAGTTTTCTTGCTTGATTGTCCAGACAGATGCTTCGTTATTTTAGCCGCGTGAGTGATCTTTTCATTCGCTTTACAATCGTGCGATGTTTCATTCTTTGCTTCAATCACGAGTGTCGGTGGTTTTGCTTGAGCGGCAAGTGGAATCACTGTGTGCTCAGACTCGGAAGACTGTACCGATCTTGAAGGTGGATCATCGATCTTCGCATCGAAAATATTTTTTGTTGCTGATGACAACCCTGTAGTCGAAGGTGTTTCAGAAGCATTCACTTTGGATGCCTCGCTGAGAGTCGAGTCGTGTTGAGCCTTGCTATTACCGTCCAGTATACTGTCGCACGTTCGTACCTTCCCCGTTTTTCCGAAGAAACTTTTCAAACTACCCTTATTCTGTTTAGTTTTGCATATCTCCAGTCTGGATACTTGTATTCCGATCCCTCTCATGTCTTCGGGCGTTAGATGCAATTGGTTCCAGATGCTGATCACTTCTCTGCATTATAAAACGCACAGTAAAATAGTTTAGATACAATGAAAGTGGGAGCTCACCAAACTATCAAAATTGTGAGTCATTACTGACGGATTTGCCAGTAATTACAGCAGTAATCTACTCATTTAGTGTTTTTAATTAATTATTAATTATATCATTATTGTACAAATCCGTTCGTAATGATTCGCATTATACGTGGTACGGCGAAGACTCGCGTAAAGATGTCAACGTACAATAAATTAATAACGTAACTCACTTTCTAATAATGCTGACATCATCAACGGCCGCTATGAGATTTTTGGATTTTGTGATATAGTTGCAGAGACCGTGACCCATGAACTTCGCGGCTTCCTTGGGCGCTTCCTCCGCTCTGATCATGAGCTTCAGCGTGATGCATCTGCCCTTCGCGCGAGCCGCCGTTAGCCGGCCGCACACCTCCGTTGATAATTTGCCCAAAAAATCGACGGCGTCCTCGTTGTTACGAAATCTAATGCCGTAATTCACTTCAGCCGATACCGATTTCCTCACATGCTCTAGATTTAATTTCGTATCGTCCAGGCCGCGACACATCTTGTATAACTGCTCGCCCATTTTCTTGCCGAACTCCTTCTGCAGAACTCCTAACGAAACACTCTGCAATTCCTCACATGTGCACACGTTCATCTCGCGTAACTTGTGTGTCGTTGTTCCACCAACGCCTAAAATTACAAAAACTTTAGAATAAGATATACAGATTATCTCAGTAGTAAAAACTCTCTTTTAAATTGTTGAACTTAATAAGAAAATTGGTTGATAATTTTAATATAAAAACAAACTTCCACAGAGGATACAGAGGTTTCTGATCTCATGGATAACTGAGAAAATAAAAATGTACCAGGCAGATCTCTTACGTTGAGAGTCCGGATATATGACTCCGCGTTTTGATTGCTTAAATAGAATTGATTATCGGGTTTAGCTCTCCGTGTCGCTAATCTCGCCTGCAGCTTGTTGCTGCCGAAGCCGGTAGAAACCGGGCAGCCTGTTTTTCGCTTGATTTCTTCTCTGATTACGGTCGCGAACTCTAACGGCGAGAGTCCGGACGTTCCGAGCACCTTCGTGCAATCTGCGTACATCTCGTCGCAGCTCACCGCTTCGATATTCAGCGTGTAGGACGCCACCGTGTCGTACAAAGCGTAAGACACTTCCTTGTATCCTTCAAAATCGTATTGTATGGTCTTCAGGTTCGGGCACATCTTCAGCGCCTCTCCCAGGAACATGCCATTCTTCACACCTGCCTTTCTCGCCGCGTACGAGCATGAGGCTACTTCTGACTTCGATCCAAACTCCTCTTTGCCGTCGTAATTCGCGGAGTGCGCGTTACCCTTCGCGTGCGTCACCGCTACCGGTAGACCTTGCAACTCTGGCCTATTTCTTATACCCACGGACACAAAGAAGCAGTCCATATCGATATGCATAATAACAGATTTCTTTTTGTTGCCAATTTTATTGTCGAAACCGAGTGTGTCATCTTCGGAGTCCGATTCGCGACCAGCTGAAGACAAAGCACTCCTGACTCCTTTCGATTTTATTAAACGTTCAAGCCCAAGGAACGTCCCGTTGCTTTTGTCTCTTAACTCGTTGACGTAATCTTTAAAAGTAGTCCCCATGGTGGCGATGTAATGCAATCTGGAGTTACTGTAAAACGCTGATAGAAATTCCGTGTCTCTTGTAGATTGTGCATTTATTCTTGCACTTGAAGATTGAGGAATATTGATTTTTGCAGGTTTCCGAGTACCATCATTTGTATCTTGATTCAATACATTTGTACCATTTGTATCATTTTCATTGTCAACAGTATTTGTTGAAATTTCTGTTTTATCACACGTAGCTGACTCAATATTATATTTGCCCTTCTTAATATTTAATTTATATGCCAATTGAGGTTGTGCATTAGCGTTAGAGTAAAGCAAGTAATTCTGAAAGCTCAAGATTTTTCCAGCCGCTATACTATCGGTAATCCACTGTGGTTTGCATATAGGAATTGGATTCTGGCTTTTTCTGTATGACATTATTTTCGAATGTGGTAGATTGGATGCTATAATATGAGTTGTGATTTTAGGGCGCATATAGTGATGATATATGCCCCCATGCATCATCATCAGACGTCTGAGCTCATCGGATGTTGGATCTGTATAACCATTTACAAATATTGCAATTCCCTCAAATAATTTTGACGATTCTTTAAAGTCTTTACTGGCTTTATTACAAAATTGTTCCTCCAATTTAGCTTTCTTAGCAGCCATATAACCACCCTAAAAATATAAACAAGTATACTAATTAGACATCTCAAGAGGATTAATTCTTATTAATAATATTTAGTAAATTTAGTATTTAATAAACATTTAATAAATTTAGTAAATATTTAGTTAGCACAGAATATCCTGAAATTATCTTGAGTATATTCGAAACATCTTAAGATATTCCTCAGGATATCCTACACATATTCAAGATGATTCTGAGACATTTTGTACTGTTTGGGCAACTAATAATAGTAATAATAGGAAAAATAATAAGGAAAATTATAAACTTATTGTCAACAATATATATTAACAATATATATTAATGTACTTACCCAATCCTCGAAGCCATTTTCTCCCCAAGCACGATTCCTTTTTTTCCTTGACATAATTATACTATAACTTTATCACAAACACAGTTTTGTATTAATAATAATTATATAATTGGTAATCTAAAAAAGAAGAGAAGTTATTAATTACATAATGTTACAACTGTTTTCTTAAAACTTCTAAAAGTGTTAAAATAAACAACATACATTTCTCATGCAAATTCTCTGCGTAATCTGTTATAATTCGAATCATTATTACTAATCTTAAATATATTTCATAGATTTGTTCATATTTTATTGAGTTAAACATAAAAAACTTGATTCAATTTTTACTAGTATAACCTTAAAACAGTATGTGGAAAACAAGAATTCACTAACTAAACAAAAACATTAACTTTGTACCATCTATTAAATCTTAAAAATATAAAAAATTATCTATAAATTTTTAATATTTTTTTATAAGCACTTGATATTAAATAAATTACTAGTAATTTAGAATATGTTTATACACATAGAAGCCGGTCATACTATTGAAGAATAAACAGAAAGGCCGACTCATTGTTGAATCTACTATTTAAGAATAATCAAGAATAATGCCTGACTTTATCGTTGAGTCGTACTATAATTCTTCATAAGATAGTGGCGACTCGTAGCGGAGATTTTAGAACTAACAAAAGTAATGGGTCTAATCAGATTTGAATTTCTCCGCAAAAGAACTCGATACTTTCATTAGTCGAATTTATTCTTTGTAAATAATATGATCTAATTATATATTAGGAAAACTTTTATTCTTTAATATAGTGATGGACTAAAAGATTTCGCCCCTAATAAAACTAAAAATAAAATAATTATAATAAAATTTACATTCGAAGATTGCTTTTGTTTTGTCATCCCAGAGAGAAATGACGAGAAATTAATTTAAGGATCGCATATTCTAAGGTTACGTATTGCGTCTCAATTAAAAAATTCAATATTCACCATCTGTTGCACACTTCTACGTAAATGGAGTTTAACCAAAATGTCCCTGAATCTTATTATCAATTTCATGATACTAGTTATATAATCGACGAAAATAACAAGTGCATCAGTTACTATTTTACGTTGTCAGAAATTTCTGTAAAATATAGATTGACAGATTTTAAAATAGATTTTTAAACGAAACAAAAATTATAATTTTTATGTTAGAATCATGCAAACATATGTTGTATAATTTCCCGAGACAAATTACATTAATATTAATGCAATATATAATCTTTATAATATATAATATACATATAATTATATTTTATATTAATATTAACGTAAATTATCATACAAATTATATTATTAAAATGAAATTAAGTATTTTCCATTTTTCTAATTTTATTTTACAAAATTTTGTTAATAAGAAACATCATTTTTAATATATTATTTTGATTTTAAAATAAGATGCAACAAGCAATTTGCATTAAAAATACAATTTTTTTATTACTAAATACTATACAATTTATTTATATTAATTTGTATTAATATCATATCATTTTCATACAATTAGGTCTATTAACAATAGTAACACACATCTTATTATGTAAGATGTAATAGATGCGACATGTATATTTATAAAAACAAACTTTAAACAAAATAACATGAAGAATAACAATAGATAAATGATTGAGATACATGACATGCCTAAATACAAAATTAGAGTCGTACCAGACGAGCTCCATTTGTTAATATTCAATACAGAACATCTTCTATATAAAATAATTGTAAAATATCTTAACATATTATACTAAATGGGCGGATATTTAAAATGCTATAAAAACAAGATTTTTATATATATAAATCTATTTTTATGTTGTCCTTTAATTAATAATAATGGACGTTACAAATATTCTGAAAATTAAAAGTGTAATTGATTTGATCAATTGATCAATCACTACGTTAACTACATATATAGAAGTGATCGTATGGCAAATTCTATATATGCAAACAATTATATATTGCAATTGTGCGCGTGATCGTTGTCGGTAAACATTATTTTCTACTATCTACTTTGTAACATATAATGATACAAAGTTAATAAAAGAATCACACGTTCTACAAAAATGAATTCTTTATAAAAATAATGCTTCTTTGATAATGTATATCACATAAATGTGAGGTTTTAGATACCAAATAGCAGTAATAGCAAAACTTAAAATACCACTGGAATCTATGGAGTTAATAGTAATTTTTTGCAAATACATTGTAACTACGCTAAATATAGTTTATAAGAAGAAGTCATCTGTTCCAAGAAAATAAATGTCAGAACAGTATGAGGTCCCAGACGTGCGTAATACGGGAAGAATCCTTTCCACAGTGCAAATAACCCTTCATTTTTTATAACTTTACCGAGTACGTCGAAAGCTCCAGTAAATTCAGGTTTGCCATTTATAGTTTTCATGTTTTGTATCCTGAGAAGAAAGTATTGTATAAAATTTAAAAATTTTTTCTAAATCAAGAATATCGCCCGATTTCTTTGTATTGGCATTTACTATAAAATTTACCTCGTTTTCGCGATATCAACAGGCATAGATGCAGCCGTGGTAACCAAACCAGAAATCATAGAGCTTGCAAAATGCAAAACAATGTTTTCCTCAAAATATCCTGTTAAAGAAAAGAATTTTGATAAACACGACATAATAAATCTAAAGAATTTTTATTTCTTTGTGTGATTCTTTAATATCATAGGTAAAAATTAAATAATACATTTACCCACCTGTGTCTAACAACGCTTGTTTCGCTTGAGAATATGACGCCAGCTGTGCTGCGTTTACAACCATGGCACGTCCCATAGTAGGAATGGCACCGCGCCATAACGTAAATAGACCTTCCTCTTTAATTATACGAAATAATGCATCGAACACATTTTTGTAATTGCGTCTATCAGCTGAAAGTATTTAAATTATGTAATGACACGGTACGGTGACGGTTGCGCGCATTCGATAATATAAATTTACCAATAGGCAGTCTTCCATCTGCAGTCATTCTAATTAAAGCTACTTCGGCGGGTGTACCTACAAATGCCCCAACACATCCAGCTGTCATGCCAAGCAGTGCTTTTACAATAAAACTTGGTTGAGCATCTTTTCTAAATGGAATATATACATGTCGCATTAACGTTTGCTTCAAAATACAATCTTCTAGTATGATATAATATAATATAAAGGTTGCAAGTTATACTTACGAAGTAAGTTCTATAAGCCAAGTATATATACCAAGTCTAGTAGTAGTATATGTGGCTTGTCTCATTAAACCAGCGGACAAGCCCGAATATAGTGCTAAAATACCTTCATTCTTTAAAATGGAGGATGTTACACTTAATGTTGAAGTTTTTGTGCCACTTAACTGCATGCGATTCTTTATCAAGTCCAAAGGTTGTACAAAACATGTTGCTGCCATGCTACAATTAAATATTAAATATTACACCATTATTTAATAACACACACAGCAGTTTTTCCAGACTGGTCTGTGTATGCCCATAATCTTACAATAAACTCTAATATGTGCAACAATACTTCATAATATATAAGAAACTTTATACATATAAAAAAATGAGCCATATTCCATAATTTAGTAATATAATTTAGTAATATAATTTAGTAATATAATCTTTTTCTTTATAATTTATAATTTAAGAAACAAGACTGCACCTACTTTTCACACTTTCTCAAACAATAAACAAAGTTAATTAAAATATTAAATAATTAAAATACAAACAAGAGTCAATACATGCATGTTATGAACATATGTAAGTTATTATAATGGTTGGATCAGAAAAAATTTCTCTTCATGGAGCATACAACAAGAAAAGCTACCATTTGTCCAGGGTAGAGTTGTGGCTATTTATAGTGTGTTATTAAGATGTATCTATGAATGTATATACATATATATACATATTGCGTCACTCAGAAAAAGCCACATCCAATTTCATTTTTTTTTGTTATTAGTAATAATATCAGCTATAAATAATCTTCAGCTAAGTAATCCGTGAGAGACAACTCTTGTAAAACCTGAAAGATCTTGACCCTTAGACTGTCAATGATTGCGAAACACGTTCATGATATAACCATGGTTATCAAAGCGTGACATACGTTATCTTCTAAGATTGCACGACTTCATGACTATTTATTCGCAAATATCATAAGTCCAAATGAATATAAAAAAAAGGACACAAACCCAGAGGTGCCACCGATGAGGAACTTGATACCGTTCGGCACTGTCTTTTGGCTGCTCATTTTGATGTAATTCGATAAAATCGGTGACTTGTTGAATAATGTTGTATTAACTATATTAATTGTACTTGTTGCTCGCTTTGGCGTGAGGTAACTAACAAGAATCACCGAAAGATGTGCCAAAACATAAAGAACTGAAAAAGTTATTCGCGCGCAAAAGCGTCTGCTCGACTTATACACTGTCCATGAACAGAAAGGAAGTCGGAATTACATCGGCTGCGCTCCCTCGACGGAGGGTCATATCATGTGTCATCAGCTGATACGAAATTACGGAAAAAATAGCAAAGCGCCACCTTTTCCTTATTGCTCAGTGAAAGTGATATTTAGTAGTTCTTAAAGCGATTTAAAAAGCCGCTTCAACTGGAGATATCAATTAATATGAATATTCAAAAGGGATATAATTATTAATACAAAATAACAAGTTCTGCAAGAATTATATTACCTAATTCTAACCTATCAGCTAATCTTTAGAGCCGATGCAACATTGTACTGGCTTCCATATTGTTTTTCAATATTTGGAATCGTGCCCTGATTGGTCCAAGAGTGCGCAATCGCAGAATCGATAGTCATTCACGTTACACGTGTATCTCGTATGAGATCAGTTCGGCACAGTCTTCTTGTGCGTCACAGAACGCACGCGTTAAATAATTACATTTATATTTCAACATGAAGCCAACACTTGTAGCCGACGAAATGTTCCCCGAGGGAGCCGGGCCCTACGTTGAATTGGAAGAGGTAATGAACCACTATGCAATCGCTTAAAAGAGGTTAGAAATTATTAACAACAAATTACCTAAACACGAAACTTGCATTTTGCAAGTATCTTAACATGATTTCATCAAATGGCAAGTTTTAAAATGAAATGCTTATATATTATATGTACAATGATGATTTTAGGTCGGAGGCAGCAGATTATTAGTAGATCTTACGGCGAGTGAGAAAGCGGTTCATTCGGAATTTTTTAACGGTATGCCATTAATTCACTTTATTGTATAATTAACTGTTCTCCGCGTAATTCGTAGATGTGGGAGAAGGGCATCATTTGTTTCTATGAAAAACAATGCACATTAACAGAATATACAGTTAGTTTATTGAAATAATTGTTTCATTTCAGAGTTTGATGATCTTTATGACGATGATGATTTGGACTGAAGCATTTCTAGGGATTCAAACTAAGCAGCGCTTTGTTTTTTGCATAGAGTGCAGTTAACTTAGCATTGAAGCAGAGAACTTGTTTTCGTAAATCCACCATGCGGAACAGAGTTACGATGTATAAAGAATCAATAGACGTCGTATATTATTGATTGCATTCAGCAAAAAGCAACTTTGGATTAGCACGTTGATGTTACATTGCCAATTATTTGCAAGTTCTGCTGAATGTTCTCTCATTGTTGAGTTACACTCACTTATGCTTCATATTGTGTTATGCTTATTCAGCAAAAGCTGAAATAAAATCTGAAGGCATTCAGCAAAAAAAGTGGCAAAATACAATCGCTTAGCTGTTTCTTCTGCTGAATGCAATCATTAAATATAAATGTTTACGTGTATAATAGATATGAAAAATGTACCGTTTCTTCAGTTTGCTGTATAAAACTACTGCAAACTCTCACATAGTGTGTTGTTATTAATACATCTTTTTTCCTCTTGAAAGACTAACCACAAACTACAAACTTCATTATAACATTATTACAATTTATTTATACTTTTTAATTCGAATCAGATGTGTGCCTGCATCTATCATACGTCATTTTACTGCGTACCACAGACAGTTGTTATTATTATAAACGTGCCATAAGAAAATGAGTACTGGTCAATATGTCTTGTACACATAATAATATTGATATTGTAAGATTATAATTTATATAATACATAGACGCTAGTCATATAAACTTGTATGACGATGCACAGTTAAAATATAGCACCCCATTATCTCAGTCATGCTGCATTTGTTTACCCGATTGTTTATCGATCACTCCGCGCTAGTGCATCGAACTCTAGTTTACTTGATACGAAAAAAGAGCCACTTAGACTTGCCAATTCACTTAGCCCAATTAATCGCTACGTGTTCTCCTTGGCCCCAATCAACGTGTCTCTGCCTTTGACCATTCTCATTTACTTCAACAGATTTACTTTCCACTCGCTACGTTTATCAACTCTCGTATCCTTGCTCTTGCGTGTGTTAAAAACTGGCGACCGAGGTGTAGACGACGTTGGCAATAGCGGCGATATTATTAACGTTGACATCGCTGATGATAGTGGCGAATATCCTGAAATTCAGATGTAAATTTGTAGCTTCAAGTATTATCTAATATCTTATCATGCTCTGAAGTTTTTTTTTCTAATATATTTGCCACTCATGCGCATACCGCGAGTCATCTCTGTAAAGTGATATCGTTCAATGTAATCATTAGAATTAGATACAGACCTAACCTAGATATAGCAGATAGTATGTGAGAAACACGATATCTATATCGATAGAACGAACGTACTATAACTAAATGTACAAACCCTGAGTCTAGCCTTTGAAGAATTATTCGGGGTGCTAGTTAACTTCCAGATCACTATCAGCCTGGTCGTCCTGATCGCTTTCTTCCTCCTCATCCTCATCTTCCGAAAAGTACTGAGAGGGTGGCGATAAAGCATCTTCCGACAATGAAGTGTGTGACGACGAAGGTGGTCGAGAACTTTCCAATTTGATATCTAAGTCCTCTACCGATGTGCTTGGACCGGGAATCATTGGAATAAACTTTTCTAAGTCTCCTGATGCCAATTCTGTAACGATAGCCGCGTTTAACATACTGAAGAAACTAAAACTTAAATATTTATAAGTTATGTGGCATAAGGAGCACGTACGTTCCACATATTTCTCAAGTGATTTCGGAACCATTGATTTTGCCTTTCGCAAATTTTCTTCAGTGCATTCCCCTTTTTCTAATCCTAAAAGTGATATGCATTTGCAAGAAATAAATTAGTGTTATAAATATTTCTTTAATATGAAGAGAGAAAGAGAGCTAATACGAAAGAATCAGTAATATTACCAAGAGCTAGACCCATCTGCTTCAGAACCTCGATATCGTCATGAATCTCAAACTTATCATTAAAATTAAACAGGTACTCAGTTCTGCGAAAAGAAATATACGAATTAAATCATTAAATTATTTGCTCGATCATTCCGTGATATTTGCTTTCAAGAGTCTTACAACATACTTGTCATTTGAAATGCTGCAATCTATGACAGTCTTTTTACTGGTATTCACAATGAGGAATGGCAGCTGAATGGCAGAATTGGGTTTCGGTGGCCCGCGAAGGCTCTCGTTCAAACGATTACGTTGCACCAAATTCTTGAAAGAAATGTGAGAAAGGATAAGTTGATGTAGTTGTTGTGTCTTTGCCTTAATTCTGTCCATTTTTTTCTTCTTATCCTTTTCTAATGCCGCACATTCTTGCAAAGAATTAGTAGGCAACCCGAGCCACCTAATTTCCTTTTTCTCTTTGGAAATGATATTCATTGCCATTAGCACATTCAGAGCATCGTACACGCGTCTTCTGATATTTTTCTGATCATATTGCTGCAAAAGAAGACAGCGGTGTAAAGTATCGAATTTCAATCAAATGATGAGCGTATGTAAAACAAAAAACTTATCAATATACAAATATTTAAGTTAAATAAACAGACGAATCTACAAATATCTTTTTTATACTCAAAACTAATGTGTGGATATTGCACGGAATAAATACCTGATCTGTCAAAGAATTTAAATGAGCAGGATTAGTAAATTCGCCGACCAATTCATCCGCTACCTCGTTGTACGAAGTAGTACCTTTCTTTTTCACTTTCTCACATACCTTCATTGAGAAGTGTCTCAACCCTTTACCGACCTTCTCCGCTTTTCTTCGTTTACTAAAATATATAAAAACGTGTTGTAAGTTGACAACTGTAGTCTAATGTGATCAAATGTAAAACGTAAACATCGTGCGAGCCTGCACCTGCTTGGTGCACCTGCACCAAGCAGACTCTTCTTAAATGATTAATACTACACAAAATTAAAATGTATGCAATAAAAACTTTGTATTACTCAGGCACATATTCGCCACCGTCGATATCCTGTCTCTTTCTAGATCCACTGTGATCTAGTATCGGACTGATAAAGGTCTTTCCTGTGGCATCTTTAACAACTTGCTGAGTATTGGATTGCTGTTGCTGCTGTTGTTGCTGCTGAGAGACGATAGCTTGTTTTATATCGCTCTAAAAATGAAGTATGCATATTGCTGTGTTGTTCACTGTGAAATTCAATGAACTCAGTTCTTTTCATTGAACTCCCTTATGAAACTATATTTACCATTTGCGCTGAAGTGAGTTGTATGGTCTTGGTCATCATAGCTTCCCCTGGTTTTGATGTTGCCACTTTAGTATTTTGCAAAGGTATTGTTACTAGCCCTACAATTACACATTTACATTAAGACTATCTCTATAAAATGATCAAGTTTATAATTTTGTGAAAAGTGTATTTTTATGTAACACTTACTCTGCCCAGGTGTAGATGGACTTTGTAAACTGATAGTCCTAAGAATGTGTGCATTCGATGACAAAACCTAGTTCCAACAATACATATGTAATATTTATAAAATTGTAATTATAAATATTATTGTATATAATAATAAAAATGTTATTTATATATCCTAACTTGTTCACTTTTAAATATAACACATATTGCTTATAAACAAGATTTATTAATTTAATGAGCATACTTTAATGTAGGATAAAGATAGCATATAACCTCTGCATTGAGCCAATGTACTACAATTGTATGAGTTGTAAAGTTGGGGCAAGTACCTGGGATTCTTGATTAGGAGCTTTAAACACCTTAAGGCCACCTGCATTTGTTGTGCTAACAATACCACTTAATGCTTTATTAGGTGTACTTTGCACTACTTTTATCACTTGTGGTTGCCCTGTAATAAATTTGACTTGTCTATAATTGCTTGTAGATATATATTTTACAAGGGCACAAAATATTTCAGAAACTTTTATTTTCTTTGATTAAGATAGGTCCAAAATCTAATATCAAGGCAATCTGATCTTCAGGTTATAATTTACATAGCTAATGATAAGATATAAATAATATATATGTACTACATATTAACAGTCAAATAAACAATGATATTCAGAGTGTGCATGGTATATAAGAGTAATTTTACTTTAACACCATATGCAACAAAGAATTTATCACCAAAACTATATAATGATAGTAATCATTTTTTTTATCATAGTCCATATATTAAAAAATATATACATATGTATAAACATTTTTATTACTAAATATAAACTGCATTTCATTTATATCAGATTTATTTCACAAGCTGTCACCCTTTCATTGCATTTAGAAAGCCACATGATAATCTAAAAGTCCTTCATGTTACAATTTGAATAAAATTACACCAAGATTTTAAGTATGTACCTTAACAATATAAAAAAAGAAGAAATTGTCAATGATCAAGTTGACAAATTGTCTACTGATTTTACAAATGTTATACTTTAAAACCATCAAATGAAGTAAATAATCATCCAAGGACAAAACACTTAGTAGAGAGAGTTTCCAAGGACTCAAAAACTATCCAGTAAACATGAACATTGTATATTTTTTTCATTTGCTTAAACAATATATTACAGAAGATACAACTTGAGTTTCTATTGCTGTAATCAGTATGACAATAAGAATGTTTACCTTCGTGGTATTACACAACGAAATATGATTATGACTATCAAGCAATGAACATACCAAATTGCAACATTGTTGAAACAGCAATCAACTTCTTGTGCTTGACAGTGTCCTATTTGATCAAATAGAATCACGATAACCAGAGACTGACAATAGAAAAGCACAGTTATGACAAAAGTGTAAAGCAAGTGTAAAGTGTAACGCCTAACTCTTGCACCGGTCAAGAATTTGCTCATGTCACTGAGTGCCAGTCTGGCATACAATATCAAGTAGACAAGGTAAGCGATATCGTAACGAGATTGCAACGTCAAAACTGAGAGACTGTCTTGCTAAGTCGCAAAAACCTTTGGAGAAACTGGAAACTGTGCTCTTGCTTCCAACAAACCTGGTCGAAGTCGAGGTGTGGAGTACGTATAAATTCGCGGCAGACGCGCTCTCGGCGACAACAACGCGGCAAGAGCGAGGCCGGGTGTACGGATCGGCGTGTACGCGATGATGGTCGAATTTTACTCGACGTTAAAGGGCGAAACCGAAACGAGGGAAATACGCGCGATGCCGTCACGCGTGCCGACGGTTGGCGCGCGCTCCTGATTCCACTTACCGTTAGCGTCGTGTATTAGGAAGTTCATCGTTTTGTTTTGCTGTGTCATCTCCGGCGTTATTGGGCCGTCGACACGCTGAGGACAATTCCGACGTCGGGTCGTGCACAAAACGAAAATAAAAAGATCATAGGGCTACACTTTGCTTTGGATCTCGACTCGCCGTATCACCAAAATGGCGACCCCGCTATATAAAAGCACTTGCAGCGGTGATTTGCGGGGTGTCACACGTAGTGCGACCGGCTCGACCTGTCGATTGTGGAAAATCGGCGCCTCCTCTATCGCGATCGGCCGGGCATATTTCCCACGGGCGACGAATATTCGCGTGATACTTGCCAGCAACCAAGCTCGCAGCTTCCGCGTGCACACGGACTGGAAATGAGCTTGGCGGCACGACAAAGCCAAACAGCTGATTGGCCCGCCGCCGGTCACATGGTCGCCCCTCGTTCCACGTTTATGTGGCGCTGCTTTAGTTACGCGTGCCGCGCCACAGGGAGACGCGTATCGCGGATTTTATATTGTCCGTCGTGTTTCCGTTCGCGAGAAAATGCTGCACGCTGCATTCTACGCCCGTAGCAAGCGGGCGTATTACGCGCGCGCGAAAGAGACGGATAATAAGAGCGTTCCTACTAAGATATGAGCAGCCGCCGTGCGATTCGAGCAGCGCTCCTTTAACGCGCGAGCGCGACCCGAATTAAAACGCGAGCGTAATGCGATCTCACCGGCGAAAACGCGCGTCCCTTGCCACTTTCGGAGCGCGAAAGCGCTCGCAACGCGGCGGGAATAATCGGCAAGGGTAATGTCCGTGGACATACACAAAAACGTAAGTAGTAAAATATAAGTCACGGCAAATTGACCAACCGCAGTTGATTATTCTTAAGCCGTGAGGTGAATAATCGACTATGGTTGGTCAATTTGTTTACTGTTTACGCGTTTTCGGGTGTGCTGTGGGTCGAATGGGCGGGAATCCTCTCGCGTCTAAGCGGAGCTTTTGAAACACTTGGAATGCGTTTACTAATTTGCGATGGAAACAGGCACTGCGTGTCCGATTGAAATTCGAAAGAATTTAACTATGCGCGACGTGCCTCTATTGGTCAATGTAGTCTTAATGCTTCTTCGATTTGGACATGTAAGATGAGATTCATTAGATAGCTGAAAACGTTCTTTCTGTACAATGAAGTCATTAATTCCGTGTATAAAAAGGATGATTCGAATCTCATCAATGAAATCGAATGTATCCGCGTGTAAATTATAGAAAAAGTACTATCGTTGTGCTTCAAGAAGTTGGTAATGAATGCGATTTCGCGCTAAAAGTATTTTTTCCTTCAACCACGATTTCATTGGTCTAGGGTATAAGTATAAATATACTTTATAGATGGCGATGCAAACGTCGGAGAAAGATAATTCATTCGTTTCCATTTCTCTTCGTGGATTTGTAATATTCGACGTTAGAAATCTCGTTATCTTGGTCTTGAAACGAGTTTTTAATTGCATGAAGCTTAAGAATTTTATAATAACCGCACTTACACGTGCAGCAGATAAATATCGCTTCAAAGACCAACGTAAGTAACAAACAGACTTTGAAGTTGATATTGAAGATTTTTGTGCGGCGAACCATGAATCTCAATAATCCTCCGCATATTTTTCACATAAAATGAAAAATGCTGTACCGTATGTTATGCTCCTTACGAGAGGTCTCCACTATCTTCTTCGCCGGTTTTTATGAATCATCATTTAGCATAAACATATATACATGGATTCTGAATGTCTCATGTTTTGTCGTTTAATAGAGTGAAGCCACCATCTAGAAAGTGAGCTAGAATAGAGAGGCTATAGTTTTTCTTCCTATTTTGTTACTTTTTTTGTTTTGCGTGTGCATCCATTTCTCGTTTCCATAATATTATAGAGCGCAATAGCACCCCGACTAGACTGGCAAGTAAAAGTCTTACTTAAATTTTATTGCACACTTTGTCTATGCAGAAAGAGACAGAGAACACAGAGGGGCTGTGCATGCTGGCTTTACTTTTCTGGCCGTATGCGAGGTCCATGTATACTATGTCCATGTTATTTAGTATTTAAATGAGCCGCGAATTCGATAAATCAGCGCGCGGCTGCGCGCGATGTACCGTTTGATATCGCTTCGACATCCTTGTCACTGCGCAAGTATGACATATTTCGATTGACGTATGTATATACGTGAGCCCATACACGTCAGAGGACAAGTAATCGCAGTATAGTGTGTTTATCCTGTGTGTAAACTTATCTTCCCAAGCGTTGTCTACTTATAAATTAAGCGAGGTAAGTTATGCAAACATTTGATAATTTTGTTTTATGTTATCGACATTCTCCTGCGGCGCGAAACATATCTCTAATTTTACGCTTAAAATTCTCATGAATATTCAGAAGAATATTATTTTATTCAATTCTCTGTCATGATATATTTAGAAATTTAAATCGTAAATTCAAAATCTATATTATCTATTTTGATATTTCATTTCATAACATATTATATTTCGTTATTATAGTGGAGAGGCAGTTATTAATATTCTCTCATAGATAATGATGTTATTTTGAAGTGATTATCGACGTTGTTTATAATGCGTACAGATATGTTTTATATATACCATATTTATAGAAAATCAATACCTTTAATTTTTATCCAATAGAGTTTGTAAGGATTCTCATGACAGTATAATGTATCACCTTAATTCTCTACCAATATATGTATGTGCAATATATGTGTGTGCAATAAAAGAATTGATAAAAGTAATTCTAAATTTCTAACATGTTTATTTTAATTGTATATAATAAATTTTTGTTACAGAAAAATGAAAAACGGCAGTAGATTATTGAAAGTTCTTCTACAAGCTTCAGAGAAGGCAGCAAATATTGCCAGAACTTGCCGACAGAAAGAAGCTTTATTTCAATTATTAGTACAAGAAAAGTCCTTAGAAGAAAAAAATCCTCGTTTCTTCCAAGACTTTAAAACATTAGCTGATGTTCTTATACAAGAAACTATTAGACATGATATAGAAATAGAGGTAAAAATATGAACCTGTTTTCATAAAATAGTGATATATAATATTAACTATTTATTGATTTTATTGATTAATATTAATTTAAATTTCTAATGTTAAAATTTAAACTTCAACTTTATTATTGTGAACAGTTTCCAGAGTTGGCTAAACTGGTGCAAGGTGAAGAAACCAATGTATTCAGCAATACCTTGGGAGAATCGATTGTGGTTGAAGTTTGTTCATCCAGTGAAGAAACAACACGATTACTAACTAAAGTTATGGGCAATGATGTTGTGGCAGCAGAGTTGCTCGCTGCTGAAGTTCATAAGGATATTCAGCTGTCAGACGTGCCAATCACACTAGAGATTCCTACTGAATTTGACATCAATGAGGATGATCTTGGTATTTGGATAGATCCTATTGGTAAGTAGGCAAATATATGATGCACATTATAGTCCCAGACAGTTGCATATATATATTTTATTGATATTTAGTAGATTTACATTAATTCAGGGCAAGAATGAAAATACGCGAAAGTATTTTGGACAGTATTATGGTAAAGCTATGTCTCTTGTCTCTCTATCCTAATTGGCCCTAATTGGTCTGTAAACTGAGACACAACGCTTGTAAGAATCTCTGTTTGTTTTGTAGTCTGATAATACATACCTGTGGAGCAATACATGGAACTTTTGTAGATTCAACAGCAGATTACATTAATGCAACAGAGACAGTGGATGAAGAGACCAGCTTGTATTTAAGCGGTTTACGTTGCGTTACTGTACTAATTGGAGCATATAAGAAAAGTACAGGAGTACCAGTTTTGGGTGTAGTCAATCAACCTTTCTGCACCAATGTAGACTCGCAGTAAGTGAAATAAAACAATATATATACATACATATATATATTTTCATGTGTAATTAATAGCTATTTATTTTTAATATTTTAAAAACGTGTAGCACAATATGTAGCTCTGATTTCCCACTTTATCAAAATATATTATAATGCCTATTTGATCACAACATTGTATTAATTGTACAGATGGTCAGGAAAATGTTACTGGGGTTTCTTGGAGTGTGGCGTTGGTAAGACTTCCATAAGTGAAACGTGTAATGCCGATAAGATCATCCTACTTAGCCGTTTCGAAGATGTGGATGTAAAATCAAAGCTGCTAGACAGTGGATTTAGATTGATAGAAGCAACTGGAGCAGGCTACAAAATATTGAGCGTTGCTCTTGGACAAGCTGCTGCTTACATTTTATCAAAGAATTCCACTTACAAGTGGGATACTTGTGGACCACAAGCTCTGTTGTCATCAACAGGTGGAGGCATTATCGAGTTCAAAGAATTTATCATACGTCCAAACTCTGAAAATCTAAGTCTGAACTACCTACCTGTCGGCACGAACTTCTCCAACAGTAGAGGCCTGATTGCATATAGAGATCCTCAAATCTTAGAAACTTTCAAGTGTATTTTGTGTAAAATAGCTAATTAAAATAAACGTTTATGCGCCCAAGTTGCATAACGATAAAGCCTGACATTCTAAAGATCTTTTTGGTGGCTATATGATCAAATCTTTTTGAATTTCAGAGATAATTTCTGAGAGATATCTAATCTCATAGATTTTACGTGGAACATTTCCAAATGTTTTTTCCGAAATTTCCCCTACTTTGAGGAAATTTCTGCCGTATTCAATTCGGTTTTACAAGATGATTATAACACGATACATACATTCGGCAAATGAATTAACATGGTAATATTTGTTGATCAGGCAGATGGACCATTATATATTACTTGCTAATTGATGTAGCTAATGACTAATTGTGATATATTTAATGTGACTCCAAATATACATCATTCAATGTACATATTCAGTTGTAGACATTATCATTTTCTATTACAGCTTATGTATGAATCTTTCTTTTTCGCGTTACGTTCTTCAAGCACTATTTTTTCCGAATCTTATATCGATTAATCCTTCTCCACCGTGATATTGCGGTGTGGTTTGCGGTTGATCATCGTTGCTATGTGTTCCCGATGTTGTAGTCGGTTGATTATTGTTGTTATCGTTATATGTTCCAATAGTTGTAGTTGGAAATGGCGTTTGGTTACTTCCTTCATTGTTACTATCTTTGGTTCCTTGTTGAATGACAATAATTGGTTGAGTCCAATGATGTCCATCTTGTTGGTGTCTATGGCCATATAGTGGAAGGTTCTGCCATTGCCACGGCCCCCTATTAGAAGTTTGTTGCGTGTTGTCGACAGCAATGATCATCTACAAAAATAAAACGTACATTAAAATCACGTTTATTTCCTTTTGTTTATTTCCATGACGCCTTTTGGATTCTGTTAATTTTTAATATCTAGATATTATTATTTCAAAACTCGATTTTAGATACGAGAGAAAAAAATGTGTTTCTTTGTATGAGATATTTACCACATCGTTCGTCTGCGAATTTCGGCATACCCATTCAACGTTAGAGCCCAATGCAATATTTTGCAGGTAGTTCTGTCGTACCGGATACGCCCAAGCTGGGCCATAACCATAGTTATTTCCTCTTCCATTGCCAAATCCAGGATTATTGAAACCATTCCCCCAATCCTGAGCTCTAGCTTCGACGCTTATGAGCATCGCAAGCGCGACCAACAATATTCTCATTTTCTATCGGTTAAGAGAAAAATATTATATTAGTAAAAACTATTATAAATCAACATGTAAATATTTTACAAGATTCGTAGATAAAATATGCAATTATTCACAATTATACGCAATTATTACGAACAGTGTATACCTGATTCATGAGAATGTCAAGAAAAGCAGAAACGTGCAGAAAATCCGGCACTTAGCTAATGACTGGAGTAAAAACAATGCGAATCCTTATATAAGGTAATTGTCACGCACACGATGTTTTGTTCGTAGAATGCTGACTGAATGCAATTAACACGATTAACCGTGAGGTGAGGGTTTCGACTTAAAAAACAGTAAATATGATAATGCATTCGACTCGTGTACGCACAATTATTTTTTATTCAACTAACAGACAACTATCGTTGATCGAAGATGGTTCACATCACTGGTTAACGTGCGGTTTTCCGTCGAATACTCGACTTTATCGAGTCGTCGTCGTCATCGTCGTCGTCATTGCCATAATACCGGTTTTGAATTTTCAGCCGAATAGATCGCAAAGTTACGCGGGAATCCCGTCGCCGAAGCCGCCGCTATCATTAAGCATCGAATTACAGGACGCGCGAGACCGGCTGCCGCGAAATTATTGTAATTTATGTCACGGTTCATCGCCGCCGCACGTTCAATGTACGAAAGGTCAATGAATGTCGTCACCATAGTTCTCTTCCGGAATGTTTTCGAGAAACTTATTTTCGATAGCTTATCGTCGACTCATTTTGCAAGACATAGATACATAAAAATATATCCTAATTAAAATCTCATCTTGCAATATTGGATTGTACATAATAATAATTGCGTGTAATATTTTTCAGGTAAAATAAAATGTTTGTATTTTTATATCGTTACAGTTTTGTGAAATAATATATATGAAGATCTTCGTTATTATTTAAATAATGTTCGTAAAAAAATAGATTAAATAATTGTGTGAAAGATATAAAAAAAATATAAAAGTAAAGTAAAAGTAAAAAAGTTAAATATATTAGTTATTATTATATATATATAAATATTAGTTATTATATATAATAAGTTATTATATATAAATATTAGTATATTTTAATATTTATATATTATTAAGAGAAAAATATAAG